GTCGTTTTAATAAGCTAATTATGGCCATCCAAACGATATTTTTTCAACGAAGTACGGTTTTAATAAGCTAGGTTATGACCATCTAATTGAGGGTTTTTCTATAAACTCAGAAAATAAGGTAGGTTATAGTTGCCAAACATGCCTAAATTTTTCACAAGTTAAATGTCTTTTCTTAAGGCAAAGGAAATCTCTGTTTAACCTTACCACTTTAAACCCACTTTCAGATGATATTAAATATACTGAATTTGTTTGGTTTATACAGATACAATAGAACTAATGATCTTCGATAATAGTTTCATCAAGTACTTGAAAACAAGAGATATATAATTGCATATATTATTAAAAAAACATAAAATACATTGCTCACGACCAATCATGTAACTTGACCCATCCAACAGGAAATGGATTAAGGTGTTGACCCAAATAAAACCCATCATCTCTGACTAACCAAAAACATCTTTGTTCTTTGAACAACTTGCCGTTGTCGCAATATCTTTCACTTGTATTATAATCAAAAACATCAAAAAAGGCAGACCTTGAATTCCAGTAGAAATGAGCATAGAACCGAGTCTTTAGACTCACGTCCATGCAGAAACTCCATTGCGTATAACCGTTAACTGGAATTGTACGATTTCCGAGATCATCATCACCTGATTGTATGTGAACAACGATAGGATCATTTGTCACATCATAGATGAAAATCGACCAATAACTAAAGAAACAAATCTTGTTTGGTGTCGAAGATGCAACTGTTGTGTTGGTGTTCAATGATGCATCTGTTGTGTTGGCAGTCAACGATGCATCTGTAGTGTTGGCAGTCAATGATGCATTTGTTGTAGAAACAAGGTAAACTATTAGCACGAAATATATACTCTTCATAATTGTATAGATTGAAAAGCTAGTATGAATAAACACAATGAGAGATCTATTATATATAATTAGAAAGAGACAGTTCATCTATTCGATTTTTTAGCAAAACTAAGATATTGATTAATTCCCAAATATAAATTTTATAATATTAATTAATTACCTAAATTGTATAAATTAAATGTGATAATCTATACTATATTATAAAACGTTTGATAAAAACTCTTAAAAACCATTTTTAATACATGAAGTACTGTTTATTGATGCATATTACTTAAAATTCAAGATTACAAGTAAATTATGCATAAGTACAACTTATTAAGACTTCATGTTTGAATTCGTGTAACTAACTGCAGATAAACACAATTAAATAGAGGATAAACATTTCATTTTAACTATAAAAACTCTAAAATATAATTAGGATAATCATTAATTTCTAACAAAATACTTAATTATTATCTTTACAAAAACTTATATTATTAAACCAAAAATAAAAATGAATTAATGAAATACACAAAAAAAAGAGAAATTTAAATAGTTAGTTTGGTACCAATATTAATATTTTTTTCCAATTTTTTATGATATATCTTCGTATTTATATTTTATCCAAAAATAAAATCATTATCGTTTTCTTAAAACTACATAAATTCGTATTATAACATCGATTGAAACAAAAAAAAAAAAAATATTAAAATTGAGTTATATTTCGCTGTATTGTGCGAGTACCCTTCTAGTTTTTTATAAATTGTTGGTGTATATGTGTTTTTCTAAAACATGGAGATGGGTCTATAAAAGAATCTGATAACTTAAATTGACAAAATATACAAACTAATTACTGTATTTTTAATTATATTTTCAAATACATAGATTTTCTAAAACATATTTGTACTATTGTAAATTATATTTTTTAGCGGTTTGAACAGCAAATGGCGTCCCTGTTCTTGTATCTCGGAAGCCATATAAGTACTAGCAGAGGATCAAGTAAGAATTTTATAACTAATCAATAAGCAAGGACTTAAAAAGGTTGTATTCAGATACAATGGATATGCTCTGGGACGGAAGTTTGTAATAGAATAATTGTGCTTGAGCCCCTTGTATTGTTTTAATATTTCGTAAAAATACTATTGTATTGCTTTGAAAAGTTAGAATATAGAACACTTTTTCATATTATATATATATATAGAGAGAGAGAGAGAGAGAGAGAGTTTGTTTCAAATACAACTCATCTCATTTGTACAACTAATGCAACCCAATATATTGAGATATTTATAGAAATGATGAGAGTTCATTTATTATGATTTGAATATTTATGGAAGATGGTTCATTAATTATGATCGATACTTTATATTAGGAAACAATAAAAACTTCTATGAAATCACATATTAATCAAGGGTTGTATAATAACCAACCTATATATATATATATATATATATATATATATATATATATATATACCAAATCAAGTATAAACCCAATAAATATTACAAACTTTTAATCTAATAATCATAATTAATATTCTATTTTTTAATCAAAAAGCGAGTAAATTTACACGAATTAATAATTTGATTTTCCCAAATCATTTTCTTTCCTTAAACATAATTCTAATTAGGAATTAATCAAATTCTAAAAGATCTCATTCTATCCCCTTTGATGTTTTAAAATAATATTAGAAAGGTACTCGTGCAATACAATTAGATAAATCTCGATTTTAATGTTATATTTTATTTTTTGTCTCT